TCAGCCTCAGCTTGCCTCCTTGGGACTGCAGATTGAGCATGCAGCTCCTGGGAATGCCTTTGGTGGAGTCTGCCGCCGGAGCTGGGAGCCAGATCAGGGGCAGGACTGGGGGAAACGCCCAGGGGAGCACCACACTCTGGTCCTGGGAGGAGAGGGGAGGAGCAGAAAGGGAACGCATCAAAAAGGCAGAGGCCCAGAGGGCAACAGAGCCTTCCCGTGTGAAGCTGCTAATTGCGCTTTAATAATAGTCAGGAGGGCAAAAGAGGCCAGTGTTCGCACAAAGCCGGACGGCTCCTACCGCATCAGGCCGCGCTCTGCTGGGCCTCGCCAAGTTCCCTAGGCTGGCTGGCTTCTTTTCTTTCCTTTTTTTTCATCTGTGACATCTGCTCAGTGCTTGTCCCTCCTGTGATACCATACCCCTCGCAGCTGTGCAGACCTCCAGCTCTGCGCTGGTGCCTGGAGTGCCCTGAGCATACGGCCTTTTTGATGTGTGATAAAACAGAACCAAGCCACGGGGGTATGGTGAGCGAAGGCATCAGAATATCAATTAACCTGCTCTGAACAAAGCTGCAGCTCAGAGTGGAATAGACATTTCACTGAAGTGTCAGGAAGATGGATAATGTATTCTAATTAGGGATTGACTGATACCGCCACATCCAGCCACTCCTGGACGTGAGACCCGCGAACCTCGAAACGCAGGCTTATTGGGAATGTCTTAATGTCCCATCATGGCAGTCGTCTTGTGCTGTATACTGACTGATGACTTCTTGCTTTGCCAGAATTTGCAGCCATTAAAGTCCGTCCAGCCAAAATTGCTGCTTCCCTATGAACGTGCAGTCCATTTTGCAGCTGGGCAAATAACCCCTTTAAATGCAAGAGCTCTGGGAGAGAAGATCCTTTCTGAGCACCCAGCTGCAGCTTTCATCTTGAGGACGCCGTAGGACAGACCAGCCTTCAGCAGAGGTTTGGTCAAGGCGCTCTCCCTTCCAGGTGTGCCAGTATGGACCAGTGTGAGCTGGCGCAGGGGGAAGGAGCTTCCTTGGCTGTGTTCTCCGTACCATGTGGGGCGGCTCTAATGGGGCCTGGGTGCTGCTCGAGGGCTTCCTCAGGGACCTTGTTTCTTAGTCCCCAGGTGATCGTACCATCCCCCCAATTCAGAAAGAGCAGACCTGGAAAGCTGGTGGCCTAGGGCTCCCTCCAGAGACCCCCACCTTCTTCCTTTTAGATGTTCACATCTGCACCAGAATGACACACAGTGAGGCCAGGCTAATTAGGGAGATGTTCCTCATTTTGCTGCACTTTTCCTGTGTAATTGGAAGTCCCGCTTTCTCCAGTGAAAAGTCAGTGAGAGCTGTTCCCCTGAACAGTTCTAAAAGCTTTGGACCACATACTGATATCTGCTGCAAATTTATGGGCAAGATGATAATCATTGCTCAGTAATGCAATATTAAAAGCAGAGGCCTTTCTCAGTGCCGAGCAAAGACGGAGTTCCAACCTGCCAGCTTCAAAAGGGGACTCAAAACAGAATTACTAGTACTAGAAGCAGCAATCAATGGGCTCACAGTTCCTCCCCATCCAAATAAAGGAAAAATAAGGGGGTATGAATTTAGCTAAAGTTCAGAAAATGTTGGTTCGGCTTCCGGAACTGTGAGGGAGCTCTCAGTTGCTGCGTCTCCTGGTTCTGCCCGTGCTGCTCGCATCTGTAGATGTTGTTCTTCCTAAGAGCTGCAGCCCAGGGCTTGGCTGGCTATAACAAGGACTTGAGGAAGCAAAAAGCTGTTAAAATTTTTTTTTTTGCCCTTTTGCTTCATTAGTTCTAGAAACCAGGGGTTCCGTGGCTGTGAGTCTTCCTATATAATTTAAGAAATTAATGAAAGCTTGCTGGATTTTTCCAACAGTCTTTAGGCTGTAAATTTGTTTAGCTTTTTTTTTTTTAAACTGTCAGTGGAGGCTACTGGAACCTAAATATTTTAATATTGAAGAAATTTAGGCTTTTTTTTTTTAAAGAGACAAGATCTCACTCTGTCACCCAGGCTGGAGTGTAATGGCATGATCATAGCTCACTGCAGCCTCAAATTCCTGGACTAAGGGGATCTTTCTGCCTTAGCCACCCAAGTAGCTGGGACTACAGGTGTGCACCAATGCACCTGGCTAATTTTTAAAAATCATTTTTGGTAGAGTGAGGGTCTCACTATGTTGCCCAGGCTGGTTTGAAATTCTTGGCCTCAAGCGATCCTCCCTCCTTGGCCTCCTAAAGTGCTGGGATTTCAGGCATGAGCCACTGCATCCAGACCACTTTTTGTTTCTGTGTCTGTCAATTAGGTGGTGGTGTGGGCGTGAGTGACCTGGAGGCTGAGTCCGCCCATATCAGACCATCCTCTGACCTTAGAGCAACTGAGTCTCGTAATGCCTTAGGGGGAGGGTTCTATAGCAGGTGGGGGCTCGCAGCATGGACTCCCAGTTGCCTGATTTCCCTTTCTGCAAAATGGAGACTTGAAGCAATTCACTGCTTTCTTTCAGTTTTCCAAAGCTCACTTTACTAATTTATCTGGACATCAAGTTTAAAGCATTAGATTGTGTGTGTGTGTGTGTGTGTAACTCTAGACTCATGGGACTTGAAAGGACTTTAGAAATGGTTTAATGTGAACATTGCTGAGGGACATAAAAAAACAACTTAAGCAAATGAGAAGATAATGAGTTGACTTGATACTGTCCATTTGTCGCGAATTGATCTATGCATTTAATGTTGTTCCAAAATCCTAGTGGAATTTCCACTTGGGAATTTGACAAAATATTTTTAATGTTTACCTGAAAGATCTTATTTTGGAAAAAAAAAGGGAGGGGGGAAGAGTGTTTTACTAGATATTATGATAACTTATAAAACAACAACAATTGAAATGTTAAATAAAAAGAATTTAACAAACTACCGGCAGAAAGAGGCCAGAGCCAATGTCGTATCAGCATTTAGACTGTGATAAAAGTGTCCTCAGAGGGGAAAAGATAGGCTATATTGTGGGCAAGTTTGGAACAGGTGGTGAGCCACAAGGCAGCAGATTAGATCACAGCCCCACAGCACTCGCAAACTAAACTGTGGCTCTGTTATACAAATCATTACTATTTACATGTAAAGAGTAAAAACCCAAGAACTTGATTTAAAGGCAAGTGAATATTTATCAGCTTTTGCAGTGGGGAGGGCATTTTTGTACATCCACACAATGCCAGAATCCAAAGAGGAAAGCAGTGATTGATTTGGCCACAAACTGGTGTGTTAAAAGCAACACCACACACAAAATGAAACGGCTGCAAGACAAACTGCTGAAAATATTGATAACATTGTTTGTCTCAAGGGGTTTGTGGCAGTGTTTGCCAAAATCCAAAATGGGTTATTGTTCTTAATATGTAAAGAGCTCTTGTCAGTAAATAAAAGGTTGAGACCCCAAGAGGAAAGTAGATGACATGAACAGACATTTTGGAAAAGAAAAAAAATTCAAATAGCTAATACACATATGGAAAAAAATACAGAACCTCATTAATGATCAAAGAAATATAAATTAAAGCAGCAGTGGTATAGTGTATTTTGCTGGACAGATTTTTTCCCCCCCCCAAGATAATGCCCAACATTGGCAGAGATGCAAGGAAACAGATTCATTGCCATTGGATTCATAAACTGGTGGGCCACTTTGTAGAGCAATGTGGCAAAATGTATCAAAAGTCATAAAAGAAGGTATCAGCTTCTAGAAATGTATCTGAGGATGTTGGACAGGCATCAAGATGCATATACAACATTGCTTATAATAGTGGAAAACTGGAATCAAGCTGAAAAATATGAGCAGCAATATGGGATCAGTTAACATCAGGTCAATTCATGCAACACCAGGCAGCTATGAAAACTTCTCTGCAAGGAACACTTTGTGACATGGGAAAATGTTCATGAAATGTTTTTGCTAGAAATGAACAAATTACCAAATAGTATGTACAGTGTGATTCCCCTCCCCTACAAGTCCCAGCCCCCCGGAAAAAAGGTATCTGCACTTGATGCTTGGAAGGAGATATACCAGAATGTTGACAGTGGCTTGTTTGAGTCTGAGGTGTTATCAGTGACTCTTATTATTATTTCAGCTTTTAGTATTTTCCACATAGTGTACAATGATTGTATATTACTCTCCCAACTGGATTTAAAGAGTTAGTAAAGGCCAGGCACAGTGGCTGATGCCAGTAATCCCAACACTTTGGGAGGCTGCAGTGGGAGGATTGCTCGAGCCCAGGAGTTCAAGACCAGGCTGGGCAACGTAGCAAGGCTCTCTCTCTATAAATAAATAGTAAAAATAAACCTCTAAACCAGTTCTCTAGCTCTACCAAGAGGAGGCTGATGTCTGAGGAATTTCAATCCTGTAACAGGTTAGCCACAGACCTGAATCATCATCCAGGGTTTGTTTTTAAGAAAAGTGGGGTGTTCCTGCAGAGATATGGGGCAGAAAATAAAAACAAAAGTGGGGTTTTGTTCTCACCCTGGTCCCAGAAATCCTGTATCTCAGAAACTCTCTTTAGGAAATTGTCCAAAATGTGGAAAGCACTAGATGTGCACAGATGATCATTTATGATAGTGAACACTGTTAGCAGTGGAAATGTTCATTCGTGGACATAGTTAAGTGGCTGTGTACATTCTCTTGGTGGGACACTGCACAGCCATTGATAATGGGGACAGTGAGGAGCCGTGCAGATATGAAGAGATGCTTGTGGCCACTATCGTGTGGTGGAAAAAATCAAGATGTAAAATATATACGTTATGATTGTAATCACCAACATGAGATTCTGAAGGGAATATAATAATATATTACAAAGTAGTTTTTAAAGGATGAGGTAGGGATGATAAACATTTAGTTTTTGTTTTGTCTTAAAAGCTCTAGTCTTTCTGAAAAGCTATTATATTCCTTTTAAAATAATTCCCCAAAAATCTAAAAATAAAAACAGATGAGCACCTCTCTGAATCTTCTGTCTAGGGCTGGATTCTGGATGGCATCCCTGAGACACGTGAGCAGGCTCTGAGGATCCAGACCCTTGGGATTGCCCCCAGACACGTCAGTGAGTAGCTCCCCAGGGCCGCCGCCTCCCCCCTGCCAGAGCCGCTGCCCCTAGGGGCAGCCAGTGAGCACTCCGATCATGCTGCCTGCTTCCCGACCTCAGGCCAGGCACTGTCCAGGACCCAGCAAGGAAGAGGAGGGCATCACAGTTGAATTTTTCATGGAGCTAAATGTATTCAGGGTGGGTTCTCAAGAAAAGCGGGGTTTTGCTTTCAGCCTGGCAATTCCTTGTCCCAGGAATCTCATATCTCAGAAACTCTCCTTAGGAAATCAACTAGAATGCTATATGAGTGTTCGGTGCATGCAGGGATGCCCATCACGGCATTATCTGTGACAAGGAAAATTGTTAACAGGCAAAATTTTCAGTCATGGGCCGTGCTCTGTCCTGATGTTATGTTCTTTGTGTTTGGGTGCAAGAAGACCTTTCTCTTAGGAATTCACGGGAATGGGAGATGATTGTTGTTGTTGGTTTTTTTGTTTTGTTTTGTTTTGAGACAGAGTTTCGCTCTTGTTACCCAGGCTGGAGTGCAATGGCGTGATCTCGGCTCACAGCAACCTCCGCCTCCTGGGTTCAGGCAATTCTCCTGCCTCACCCTCCCGAGTAGCTGGGATTACAGGCATGTGCCACCATGCCCAGCTCATTTTTTGTATTTTTAGTAGAGATGGGGTTTCACCATGTTGACCAGGATGGTCTCGATATCTTGACCTAGTGATCCACCCACCTCGGCCTCCCAAAGTGCTGGGATTACAGGCTTGAGCCACCGTGCCCAGCCTGATTGTTGTTTTAATGTCATTATACAGAAAGAAAAAAAAAAAAACTACAGCAAGTATTGGTCCATGATATTCCAATGTGTGGTACCCACCATCTGACATGCCTGCTTTTGCTCCTTTTCTTCCCTGCCCAGTCATGCTGAGTGCTCCGGACATAGTCCTGATCGAGAGAAACTTGGGGAAGAGAATCGATCCTCAAACTGGAGGTATGGCCACAGCCACCCCCACCCTGTGCCACGGGCTTTCAGAGACCGTGGTGATGACAGCCTGCCTGCCACTTCCTGAGCATGCATTCTGCTCTGGGCACACGGAGGGACATGAGGAAGGCTGCCCCAGGCTGGGCTCTGAGCTGGAAGACACTGGCAAGGATACGTTCTGGTAGATGAGGAAAGGGAGGCCCATTTAGGTTAAAGGAGGAGACCTTCTTGTGACAGAACCAGAGTAGAGTGTGAGGGGTCATGCTGGGGACCTGGGCTTGGAGCCCACACAGGAGCCAGGGGATGTGTCTGCATCTCCCTAGGACAAATTATGTGCCCCCCATCCCTGACACCCCTCATTCTTTGGTATGTGTACAGAAGAGAGAGGCATGAGCATTACCTGGGAGGACAGGCAGGTGCTGCAGGGAACAGGGCCCTTGAACTGGGCCTTGAAGACCAGATGGTTGAGCAAGGGGCTGGCAGGAGCATGGGGGAGGCGGGGCTACCCTTGATCATCCAGGGCTCAGGCTGTGGCAGCAGATAGACCTGGGTTTGTGGATCCCTGGCTCTGCCCCTTTCTGGCTGTAGACATGGGATAGCTGAGACTCAGTTTTCTCATCTGTACTTGGGGATGAAAATCCCAAATCCTAATGTGTGACAGGATGGCTGCAGGTAAGTGCCTGTCAGAGTGCCTGGCACAGAGTAAGTGCTCAGAAGTTCCCAGCAGCCCTTGCCCTGGGACCTGTTCTCATATTATAACAAGAACAGTAGTTAAGAGCAGGCTCAGAGCAGCTGGAAGTTGAGCGTCGGTGACCTGCCGCAGTCAGCCACACCCCAGGAATTTGTAGACCCTGGCCTCCAGGACAGAAGCACCCCAGCCAGGCACAGCAGCACCCACAGGGCCCCTGTGTGGGTATTTCTGACTGCGCACCTCCCTCTGTGCAGAGATTTATCACACCACCTTTGACTGGCCACCGGAATCTGAAATCCAGAACCGTCTGATGGTGCCAGAGGGCATCTCAGAGCTGGAGACGGCTCGGAAACTGCTGGAGTATCATAGGAACATCGTCAGGATCATCCCCTCCTACCCCAAGATCCTCAAGGTCATCAGTGCTGACCAGCCGTGTGTGGACGTCTTCTACCAAGGTAAACACAAACCGGCAGCCCCACCGGGACAGGCAGCTGAGGGCAGGGCTCACTGTGCCCTTTACTGCTTTGTCCCTTACTCTGATAGTGGCCAGTGTCTGGGACATGCCTGGGAGTCAAGTCATAGATGACCTGGGTTCCCTGCCCAGAAACGCATGTGTGCAGAGCCCCTGGGGGAGCCCCACTTGGACACCCTGGGCTAGTGTCCCACACTCAGACGTGGGCACATCTCTGGCCCACAGAAGATTTGGTGGTGATGGGGTTGGGAGGAGGAGAGGTGAGGGACGGGGTGGGAGGGACGTGGTAGCAAGAAGTTTGAGCCTGACCTTGAAAGGAGAAGAAAGAAAAAAATATATAAAGATGAAGACAAAAACAAAACCACCACCACCACACACAACAAAACACACACACAACACAGCTCAGGTGGTGTGCTTCATTTAGGATGGACATACGTGGCCCCGTGCCCGGCACTGCATCGCCGTCCACAGCCATGGCCAATGTTCACAGCAGCACGGGAGCAACTGCAGGCAGCCTGTGCGAGGTGGGGGGACGGCTGCCTGCAGTTGCTGGGCTGTGTGTTCCAATCTCAGCCCTGACACATGTCATCCGTGCAGTCTTCAGCAATTCTCCTAACTCCTCGGAGCCCTAGTTTTGGTCCTAAAATAGGACCAAAACGTGTGCCCTCCTCCCTGGTGAGGATTAAATGGGATTCTAAATCATGTGTCTGCAGCCTCAAGCCCAGTGCTGGCACACAGAAAGGGCTCAGTAAACATCCGACGCCACAGCTCCTATCATTGTTCAACACCTTGTCCAAATAGGCAGGGGCAAGGCAGAATAATTCTCTCCCCAAACAGCTGTGTTATCATGTTTGAAAGTCTTGCTGAGCTACAGTCATCTCAACGTCTAGTTATTCCCTTCCACGCAGTGTCAGGTAAATGAAGCGTTTATGATGCAGGGAGCATCACAGATATTTAAGAAACTTGACAGTTTACAAAGGCCTTTTTCATATATTCTCTCAAATCTCTCCAAGAAAAGTTCTGTTTTGCTGGGGAGGTGGTTTCGAGCTCCCTCAAGCCCTTCCCTGCTGACTCTCCCAGCACCCTCTCCTGCCAGTAGACTCGGTGCATAAACCTCACTGCTACACTGAGCCCGGAAATGCAACTCTCGCCGGCGTGGACTGAACAGCGTCGCCCTCTGAAGGGGGCGATCAGCCAACGGGTGGGTTAGTAGAAGTAGAAAATGATGCTACTTAAAGAAGAAATGCCAGGCTTATGATGGCTCATAATTTCCCAGTGATTCCACATCTCGGAAGGGTCTTTAGTTGCAAACACTGCACTCTTAAGATAAACAACCACAACATTTATCTTATGCCACGATTCTGAATTTACACATTAATTACTTCCAAATTACTTAATTAAATTTATAAGTTCATATGATCGTTCATAAAGAATTCATGCCTGGAATTGTAAATAAAAATGTGAGTGTCTGAATATTAATTATTATTAATTAATAATGCAGAGAGATAAATTGAAAATTGGAATGCAAAATTCTCTCTGTGTGCTTTTTTAATCTCTCTGCAGTGCATCCAGCAACCACATATTTTAAAAAAGAATAATTAGATGTTGAGACTGTCTGGGGGATCATTACTTCTAATTAACTTAGTTATTTACTGTAAATTAAGCATCATTTGTAAGCAGGCTGCTTTGCCTGTAGTATTTGTGCTTTTCAGATGCACGGGATTATGGAAGGTCTGAGAAGAAAGAGAGCCTCGCCTGAGTAGCTTCCTTTGGGCTTCTCTCAGTGGAGGAATGGTTACCCATGGCAGGAGGTTTGGGAGAGTTGCCCCAGCTCTGCCACGTCTCAGCCTGACAGGCTCATCTGTAAAATGGGACATGAGTAAACAACCCTCATGGGATTGCTGGGTCAAACCAACCAGATAATGCCTATAGAGTGTTTGTCATAGCAATTACTACATGTCGCTGATGCTGATCACAACCTGGAAGACGGTCCATTTCAACTCATCTGTGCCTTCGGAAAAGAGGGGACTGTGGCATCTCTAATGGCCCTTCCAGTTTAAAAGTCCTGCAAAGATTTTAGAATTCAGGATTTTCACCATGCACATATCCCAGCGGTTCACAATCCAGGGCAATGTTTCTCCCACTGCACCCCTGGGGACATTTGGGGACATTCGGCAATGTCTGAAAAGGCTCTTTGGTTGTCATACCTGGCAGCTGATTATTATTGATACCTGGCACCTCGCCAGTAGGGGTCAGGGATGCTTCTTAACATCACGCAGTGCCCAGGACAGCCCCTCTACAGAGAATCATCTGGCCCCAAATGGTGGTAGTGCTGAGGATGAGGAACCTGCCTGGTTCTTGGATGGCACGTTCCTGAAGGAGGCGCGATGGCCTGGCCCCTCACCCAGCACAGAATACACTGCAAGGTACATTGGCAAAGGCAGACTGGCAGGAAGGTGTAACGGGGCACCCATGGCTGACTTTGCACAGGACAGACTGGGGCCCTAGCAGGAGGGGGAAGTCTCCCTAGGGAAGGAAGACGCATTTTGAAGGATGACTTGGGGGCTGGCACAGGTCCGTGCCTCATCTTTGGTGGTCTCCCTTGGTTCAGGTGCCTGAAATGCTGCCCTTTATAGCCTCATCAGCCTTTTCTCACAGCTCCCGGCTTCTTAGCTCTGGTGGGAGGTGACCTGGTTTGATGTTCAGTAGCTTTTCCCTGTGGCTTCTTGGCATCCAGTGCCCCCTGCAGGTGGCCTCATTGTGGGAGACACTCACCCCATGTCTTCACTTCTTTGTTCACCAAATGCCAGGGGCACACCGCAGGCCAGGGCCATGCAGCTACATTCGTCCACTCCTGTGACCTATTTGATCGCTGCCTCTTTGGAGAACCGCAGCGACGTTGGTGTCACCAGAGTGCAGCTGCACAAATTACTCTCCACCAATTCGAGTCCTTCAGAAGTCCCTGGGCACTGGGCTCCCATGTGGCTGGATGTGTTTATCAAAGTCTGTGTCTGACATTCAGGTGCACCTAGCAGAAAGCCAGCGTGCACTTCTAGGAGACCAGCCTAGTCCTGGGCTTCTGGTTAGGAGGCTCAGCCTGATTCAGTGTGAAAAGCCACCAGCCCTATAGAGTGCTGTCACGTCCTGGGACCAGCTTCCCAACTGCAGCTCAGTCAGCTCTAGTTCAACTGGAAAGACGTGCAGGCCCCGGCACCATGTTAGAGGAGTTCCAGGGCAGCGCTCAGTGGGTGGCTTCTGTGGACTTTGCTGCTTGCTTCCTGCCTTGGTGCCCAGGCCTGCCACGTACTTCTTTTCCTGCCTCTTCATGTTTGGCTGCTGGGCAGATGCACAGAGGGCTTCTATGGTGCTGTGAAAAAGAAAAAGAATTACTGCCATTAAAAGAGCCAAAGCAGAGGGCTGCCAGCGGCTTCCCTGTTCTTTAGGACCTGGGTTGATTATCTTCATATCCTCTCTTTCCAGCTCTGACCTATGTCCAAAGCAACCATCGTACTAATGCCCCGTTCACCCCGAGGGTGCTGCTGCTTGGGCCTGTGGGTAGTGGGAAAAGTCTGCAGGCCGCCCTCCTGGCACAGAAATACGGGCTTGTCAACGGTGAGTACCCCAGGCGCTGCCCTGCCTTGCCCTGCTTTCTGCTCCCCCTCCCCAGCTCCGTCATTTTACGGGGGGTGGTGTGCAGGGAGAAGGTTCAGTATCACTTCTCTTTCTGGCTCTTTGTTCTTAACAATTTTCTGTTAGTCCATCTTTGCAGGAATAGATTTTTTTCCTCCCAAAGAATAGTGCCATAAAAACATTAACCACTGAAAACATGTCCACAGCCCAAAGAGACAGAACATTTTTCAGTCATCATTTTTTATATCCTTTGGAGCGGAGGGTTTGTCTGTGCTGTGCACCAGGGGTGGCTGCCATCTCACCCCTGCTGTCTCCCCTGAAGCCTCGGCGCCTGCGTAATGGGAATGTGCTGTTTATTTATTTTCTCCAGTCTTGCTTGGCTCCCCCAACCCAGGTCAGTGTGTTTACAGGCAAACAATTTCTGAACCAGAGGAAGACTTCTCACTCTGCACAGTTTCAATAAATATTTTACCAGGAGGAGAGAAAATCTTGAAATCAGCTCTCCAGGTCTTTCCCGGGGTGGTCCCAGGTGGTCTCGGATGCCAGCTTGTGTTCAGGAGGATAAAGAGATAGGAAGGAGGAAGAACCTGTAGCAGAGACACACTGCTGGGTTGAAGGGAGTTAAAGCGCTGCCCCCATGCTCCACAAGCCTAAATAGCCTCTGCTGGATTTACTAAGGAAACATGAGACCTGTACCCCAAATATATAAATATGCATACATCCTCCCAAACTATACATATATACCATATGATTATATAGTGGGAATACAAATATATATATATAGATACATATACCCACACAAATATGCCTACAAATACATGTATATTTTTGTACATTTGTATGTATATTTGTATATACATACAAACATGTATACACCACCCCAGAAGGATCAAGTTTTGAATAAAAATGCTTTTCAATGAGGCCCCCTCCAACTTACAGTTCTAAAGCCACTGAGACTAGCAAGGAATCCATGACAAAAGTCATACCCCTAAAATGAAGATAGAGACCTGAGCAATTAATCTGCAAATTTGACTACTGTGGAAAATTAACCAGGACATTTAGAATAAAAAATGCTTTTCCTGAAGTCAATTTTTAAAAATAAATTATTGCAATAATTCCTTTTCCTTTGGATTGTTCCCCTTAAGAGAATGGTAAGATGAAATTTCCAGCAGTGTTAGGGAAGGCTTCTTTGTTACGATGATCAGCAGTCTACCTGTGGCTGCACGCTTGCTTACGTGAGTGTGTGCACATGTTGTTAAGGGAAGGGACGGAGGGAGCGTGGAGGGGCACTCTCAGCGGAGGGAGGGTCTGCAAACACAACAGCAGTACCCTCGTAAAGAGCATGGCTTTATGGAAATCATTGTTTCGGTGCTCTGTTTTATGATGCAGACACTCTCATTCAAGGAAAGTTTTTTTTTTTTTTTAATTTAAATTGCATTCAGCACAAAAATCATGAAGAGATGAAATTACCTGCCTAGATTTTCCAAAAAGTGTAATAGAAAAAGCTCATCATGGTTTTTGCTTGTTACCAAAGAGCCATGATGGGTCTCTTTTGGATCATTAAGAATTTGGAGACTACCTCAGAATGTTCACATTTCTCAAAGGTGTTCTTGATAAATACAAAACATCATGAGATTTAAGTAAACCCGTTTAAGGTATCTAAGACAGGAAGCGGTAGCCATGAGGTCTCTGCAAACGTTCGTCTGAACCCAGGGCTCCGGGCACTGTCTGATCCTTTGCGGTCATCTGCTGTCCTGGTTCTGATTTTCACATCTGTGAATCTCTTACACCTCCAAACCAGTAAAAACAGACAAACAGCCCCACACTCGCTCCCACAAAGTTCATCAGAAGACCCCTCTTACAATGGTGGGAGTATATACACGCATGACTTTCTGAAAGGTGAAAGCCGTGATTGCTTAAAGCGCTAACTGCGCAAACCCTGTGACCCTGGGATTTAACTCCTAGGGTTTTATTCTGCCCCAGCACCCAGATATGCAGCAAGAGATGTGGCAGAAGCAGAGTGAGAAACAGAGGCAAACCTCTAACTCTGTTAATAAGCAAGTTTGTGAAGTAAGTTGTGATAAACCTATGTAATTGATTCTGAGGCAGCTATTAAAAATAAACCTGTAAAGTTATTTGATGTTGGTGATACATGGCTAAATAAGGGAGGGGCAGAAAACAGTTTGCTCAGCAGTGTCCAGGGTGTAATCTCGTTTTTGTTTTAAAAAGCACGTTAGTCTATGCTCAGAAAAAAAAACCCGAAGAAACATCCATACACCAAACTGCTTATCTCAGCAGAGCCATGTACAGTTCAGATTCAGATTTGTTTACAGTGAGCATGAATCCTCCCTTCCTGCCTTCTTTCCTTCCTTCCTCCCTCCCTCCCTCTCTCCCTCCCTCCTTCCTTCCCCTTTCCCTCCCTTCCTTTCTTTTTTCCTTCCCTCCCTCCTTCCTTCCTTCCTTTCCCTCCTTTCCTTCCTTATTTCCCTCCCTCCCTCCCTCCCTCCCTCCCTCCCTCCCTTCCTTCCTTCCTTCCTTTCCCTCCTTTACTTACTTCCTTATTTCCCTCCCTCCCTCCCTCCCTCCCTCCCTCCCTCCCTTCCTTCCTTCCTTCCTTTCCCTCCTTTCCTTTCTTCCTTATTTCCCTCCCTCCCTCCCTCCTTCCCTCCCTCCCTCCCTCCCTCCCTCCCTTTCTTCCTTCCTTCCTTCCTTCCTTCCTTCCTTCCTTCCTTCTTCCTTCCTTCCTTTGAGATAGAGTCTTGCTCTGTCACCCAGGCTGGAATGCAGTGGCTCAATCATGGCTCACTGCAGCCTCCAACTCCTTAAGTGATCCTCCCACTTCAACCTCCCAAGTAGCTGGGACTACAGGTGTGTGCCACCATGCCCAGCTAATTTTATTTTTTTTTGGTAGAGACAGGGTCTGCGTTGCCCATTCTGGTCTCAAATTCTTGGCCTGAAGCAATCCTCCCACCTCAGCCTCTGGTTTCTTTTTTGAATCATGTGTTATTTAGAATACACCTGGCTTAATTCCCACCGATTTGGGGATCTTCCTGATTGCTTTATATTCTTGATTTCTAATTTAATTTTATCGCAGTAAAAGAACATACCCTACGTGATTTTGATCCCTTGAAATTTGCATATATGGTCTATACTGGTGAATTCCAAGTGTACTTTTTTTTTTGAGACAGAGTTTTACTCTTGTTACCCAGGCTGGAGTGCAATGGCACGATCTTGGCTCACCACACCTCTCCCTCTCAGGTTCAGGTGATTCTCCCTCCTCAGCCTCCCGAGTAGCTAGGATTACAAGCATGCGCCACCACGCCCGGCTAATTTGGTATTTTTAGTAGAGACAGGGTTTCTTCGTGGTGGTCAGGCTGGTCTTGAACTCCCAACCTCAGGTGATCCACCCATCTCAGCCTCCCAAAGTGCTGAGATTACAGGCATGAGCCACCACACCCAGCCCCAAGTGTCCTTTAAAAAAAGAGGTGTTCTGCATCGTTGGATATAGTGTTCTATAATGCTGATTAGGATAAGATGTTTGATAGTGTTCAATTCTTCTATGTCCTTAATTATTCTCGCTCTTCTTACTATGTCAGTTATTGAGAGAGGTGTGTTAAACTCTCCCGACTCTTTTATTTTTAACTTTTTATGATCATCTGCCCAAAATGTCAAAAATCTCCCAACTCTTAATTGTGGATTTGTCTATTTCTCTGCAAGTTTTTGCTTCATGTAATTTGGTATTAAGTGCATAGTGTCACATCTCAGTATCCATGGGGATTGGTTCCAGGACCTCCCTTGGATACCAAAATCCAAGGATGCTTAAGTCTCTGACACAAAATGGCACAGTATTTGCATATAACCCGCATATATTCTCCTATACACTTTAGATCATCTCTAGATTACTTATAATATCTAATATAATGTAAATACTATGCAAACAGTTGTTATACTGTATCGTTCAGGGAATACTGACAAGGAAAAAAGATGGTACATGTCTTTTTTACGTTCAGTACAGACATAATGTTTACCCCAAATATTTTTAATCTGCGGTTGGTTGAATCATGAAAGTAGAAACTATGGATATGGAGGGCCGACTGCATACGGTAAGGACAGTTAGATCTTATTGGTGAAGTGGCCCTCTTATTGTTAGGAAATGTTTTGCCTCTCTAGCAGTGCTCATCTTCTTAAAGTCTACTTTGTCTGCTGTTAATGAAGTTTCTCTAACTTTCTTATGATCTGTGCCTGTATGATATAGCTTCTGTTCTTTTCCTTTTAAACTATCTGTGTCTTAGAGTCTAAATATGTGTCTTGTAGACAGCATGTAGTTGGGTCTCACTTTTTTAAGAGATGGAGTCTTGCTCTGTTGCCCTGGCTGGAGTACAGTGGTGCAATCATAGCTCATTGCACCCTCAAATCCTGGGCTGAGTGAACCTCCCCGCCGGCCTCCCATGAGTCTCCACGCCTGGCCTGTTTTTTGTTTTCTGCTTGTGTCATCTGTTCTTTGTTCCTCCTTTCCTGCCATCTTTTAGATTAACCAAATATTTTTTAGTCATCCGTTTTCTTTCTTCAACTTCCTTTTTTAGCCGTATCTCTTTGCTTTATTTTGTTAATGGTTGCTATGGGATTAAATATGCATCTTTTGCTTGTCACGGCCTATTTGGGGTGAATATGACACCTCCCCATGTATACTATCAGAGCATTGCAGCAGTAGAGTCCCATTTACCTTACTACTGTCCTTTGTGCTACAGGGGACATATATTTTACTTCTATGTATGTTATAAACCCTACAATAGCTTGTAATTATTTTTGCTTTAAATAGTCATTCATCGTTTAAAACACTGAAGATATAAGTGGGGAAAGACTTTTATATGTACCCACCTATCAATACTCTTCACTCCTTGGTTTACATCTAAGTTTCCATCTGGTATCATTTTCTTTCAGCCTGAAGAACTTCCTTTAACATCTCTTGTAGTGAAAGTGTGCTGGTGACAAATTTTCTCAGCTTTCATATGTCTGAAAATGTCACGATTTCACCTTCATTTTTGAGAGATGTTTTGGCTGCATATAGAAATCTATGTTGACAGTTTCTTTCTCTTAGCACTTTAAAGATGTCATTCTATTGTCTACTGGCTTGCACTTCTTCTGATGAGATCTCAGAGGTTATTTTTACCATTGTTGCCCTACATATGAAGCACTCCACCTGCCCCAGCTGCTGTTAATATTTTCTCTTTAGCTTTCAGCAATTTGACTCTGATGTATCAAAGTGCGACTTACTTTTGTGTTTGTTCTGCCTGGATCTCAGAGATTCTTGGATGTGTGGGTTGAAATTTTTAATCAAATTTTGAAATTCTCCTGTCATTATCTTCCAAAATATTTCTTCTGCCTGACTCTCTCCTTTCTTGAACTCCGGTTCCACGTATGTTAGACTGCATGGTATCATCCTCCAGGTCTCTTCGATTTGGTTCTTTTCTTCTAGTCCTTTCCCATCCCCCTCTCCACTGCAGTTTGGCTACTTCCTATTGCCTCTTTTCCTGTCTTCAGATTCACTGATTGCAACACACCTAGTGATTTGTTTTATTTAAGATACCGTATTTTTCAGTTCCAGAATTGCCATCTGGTTCTTTTTCACAGTTTTCATTTCTCTGCTGAGATTCTCCATCTGTTTACTCATTTTACCTATGTTTTCCTTTAAGGTTTTAAATATACTCATAATAGCTGTTTTAAAATCCTGGTGTGCTATTTCTGATATCTGTGTCATCCCCTGGTCTGATTCTGTGGCCTGTTTGCTCTCCTCATAGGGGTCACATTTTCCTGCTTTTTTGCATGTCAAGAAGCTTTTGATTAAGTGCTGGACATTGTGTTTCCCACATTTTTGAAGGTCTGGATTGTGTCATCATTCTGCTTTAATAAGATTATTGAGTTTGGAGTATTAATCCCATTGAAGCTTATTTTTAGGCTTTGTTTAGTGGGACTAGAGTGTTCTCACTGAAGGGCTAGGGTATCCCTGCAGCTAACGTCTGCCCTTTCTGGAATTTCAGCTGAATGTCTGGGGTGTTCAGCAAGGTCTCTCACTTTGGTTGTCAGAATGCCAGCATCTCCCAGCACTGTGTGAATTTCCATTCAGTTCACAGCTTCCCAGCAGCTTTTCTCTACCAGGCCTCTGGAGTCTTACCCTGCACATGTGAAGCTTCATATGGCAAAGGCTTAGTGACCCCCTATGAGATTTCTAGAACTCCTTGTGTGCACAGCTCCCTCCTCTCCATTTCCTCGTCCTACAAATTCTGGCTTCCTCATAGCTCCAGTCTTTGTTACTTCCACCCAGTGAGACTGCTGATCTGTTTGGGTTCCACTTCTCCTGGGCCAGGATCTGAGAAGTGCCCACAGGTAGAAATCCAGTGAATATGGGGCTCGTTTTGTGTGTTTCCTGCCTCTCCAGGATTATCTATTGTCTGTCTATTGTCCAGTGACTAAAGAATTGCTTCATAGATTTTGTTCAGTTTCACAGCTTTCTATAAGAGAAGTTAAATATCATATCTGTTACTCCTTCATGGCCAAAACTGGAAGCTAAGCATGGGTTTGATGTCACACAGACCTGGGTTTGGACCCCAGCTCTGTCCCTTAATGGCAGTGTGACCTAGAGCAGGTTACTTCATCTCTTTGAATCTCAGTGTCCTTATCTAAAAAGCAACAGGTTACTGTGAGGTCCATATAAAACAAAGCACACTTAGCACAGTGCTTTTGAACAGAGACAATAGAATTGTCTGTTCCCAGCAGCCTTTTTTTTTTTTTTTGGAGACAGAGTATTACTCTGTCACCTAGGCTGGAGTGTATTGGTGCAATAACTGCTCACTGCCACTTCTGCCTCCCAGCTTAAGCAGTTCTCCTGCCTCAGCCTCCCGAGTAGCTGAGATTACAGATGCCCACCACCATGCCCAGCTAATTTTTGTATTTTTAATAGAGATGGGGTTTTGCCATGTTGGCCAGGCTGGTTTCAAGCTCCTGACCTCAAATGATCCTCCCACCTTGGCCTCCCAAAGTGCTGGGATTACAGGCATGAACCACAGCACCTGGTCCCCAGCAGCCTTTATTCTCACTTATATGTCCTTTGCTGGTGAGGCTGCCAACCACACTGGATTGAATTAAATGACAACTGCTGTCATTTACATCGTGAATTAAACATATCATTATTGAGGAATAAATCCTTGGTGATGGTAATTTTTTAAACATTCATGCTATCCAGTTAACTGTAGGATGTGTTTTGGTCTCTTTAGCATAGGCAAAAAACTCCTTAGCCCTAAAGGTAAGAAAGCCAAAAGTGCAATGAACAATTCGTGAAAACATAGCTTAAATCTTCTGGCTTTGGCTAGGAAGGGCTTTCACAGCCAAGGAGGAATTAGCCTGTGTTTATTCATACACACTTGTCATCCAGCACCTCCTATGTGCTGGCCCTGTCTCAGGGCTCGAAACACAGTGGGCCCGGGGGAGCAGGCGTTCAGAGTGGGGCAGCCACCACTGGCTAGGTGACTGCAGCGTGGTACCTTTTATTTATTTTATTTATTTATTTTTGAGACGGAGTCTCATTCTGTCTCCCGGGCCGGAGTACAGTGGCGCGATCTTGGCTCACAGCAACCTCCGCTTCCCAGGTTCAAGCAATTCTCCTGCCTCAGCCTCACAAGTAGCTGGGATTACAGGTGTGCACCACCACACCTCACTAATTTTTGTATTTTTAGTAGAGATGGGGTTTCACCATGTGGGCCAGGCTAGTCTCGAACTTCTGATCTCAAGTGATCCGTCCATCTCAGCCAAAGTGCTGGTATTACAGCCAAGTGGTGCTTTCTAACTTGGAATATGAATCTGTCCTATTGTGTGCCCCCCCATCCCATGGGGACGCCCTGCCAGCTGGAACGGCCGTGGCAGCAACACACTGCACCCCCTCCCCTGTGTGACTAGGGTGCGAATGTGGACGCATTTGAGGCATATCGCTCAGAGATGAGCAACCCCCCCACCCCGCCCAGCATGCTGACCATGCACAGCGACCCAGAGGGCGCCGCGTTGTGCACAGCAGTTCTAGGTGCAGCGAGGCTCTGCAGGCTCCTCTGTGGGCAGCAGCCTCATTAGTGTCTTCCCCGCACCGTCCATTTTTAATGTGTTCTTGCCAAATGCATTCCTTTTCATTCCACCTCTCCCTCTTCTTTATTTCCTGGCTCCTTTTTGATATTTACTTTTACTTGGACACATATCCACACACAGAAAAATCCTTTTATACTTTTTTCAGTGACCTTTTTTTTCCCCCCAGCAGGCAGCACTGGGGGTTCTTTTTTTCCTCATCCTTTCTCCTATTTAAAATTTAATGGGTGCCTTTCTGTTCCCCTCTCCTTCAGTCTGCTGTGGGCAACTGCTGAAAGAGGCCGTGGCAGACAAGACCACGTTTGGCGAGCACATTCGGCCCTGTTTTGAAAAGGGGATGGCAGGTAGGCCACGTTCCCACTAACTGTCACGACCTCACAGGCTCCAGAGAGAACTTTCTCTTTATGCAGCTCTCTGAACATCCAGGGGCTCAAAACTGGGGAGAACAGCCGGGAAATGGAAATGGGGTTTTCTCCTAAGCAAAGGCTCTGTTGCCTGTTTCTGATAAGGCCTCTTGGTGTCTGAGCCCCATCCCCCGTGAGGTGAGTTTGTGGATGTGGCAGGGTTATCCCTAAATGTTCCCATTTCTCAAGACTGTTTGCTTTTCATAACTGGTGCCACTTAAAATTGAGAGCCAGGAGAGGCCACAGAGCTCCCCCTCATCCTTTTTTGTTTTTGAGACAGGATATCAATCTGTCGCCCAGGCTGGAGTGCAGTGGTACAGTCTTGGCTCACTACAGCCTCAACCTCCTGGGCTCAGGTGATCCTCCCACCTCAGTCTCCCAAGTAGCTGGGACTACAGGTGCATGCCACCACACCTGGCTAAGTTTTTGTGTTCTTTGTAGAGATGGGGTTTCTCCACGTTGCCCAGGCTGGTCTTGAACTCTTGGGCTCAAGTGATCCTTCAGCCTCAGCCTCCCAAAATTCTGGGATTACAGGTGTGAGCCACTGTCCCCACCCCCATGTCCCTTATTATTTGGTATATAAAAATACTATGGGCAAGTATTCCAGTTTAATCAGCCCTCAGAAGCCGGAGGGTTCAGACAGTTTTGCAGATGCGAGCGTTGACTGGCATTGGTCCTCAGCAGTTAGATGCTCACCTGTTTGATAGGGGAAGCAGGACCGGATCCTCTTTCCAGGTGCCCTCTGTGATCCGCAGTCTGAAAGCATTCCTAGGATCTGACCCTGGCAAGGGTACCTTTGGGAGCATTCTAGCCCAGCTTCCTAAGTCCACAAAGAAGCCACAGAGAAGGGACTGAGCTGCCGAGGCCACACAGCCAGTTGGTGGCTGGGCTCCACTGGCTCCTCCGTCTGTCTCTTCCCTGAGCAGTGAATTTCCCATTTGCCCAGACCATCTCTCCTGCATATGCTGCAGCTCCTCCCAGCAGTCAGTGCACACCCAGTTGTCAAGTCTGATGTGAACACATGCTTATTGTGAAGAAAATTAATTCCAGAAGCAGCTGCCGTTACAGTGGGCAGTGCGGGCACTGGCTAGGAACCCTCCTGGTGGAAGCTGGTTGCCTTCTCCTACCGCCTTAGAGCAGGTTGATGAGGAAACGCATGAAAACAAGCTGTGTCCTCCCAACCATCCGCTGAACAGGCCTCCTGTGGAGATGTCCTAGCTGGCCCTCCCAAGATGTCCTAGTCTACAGGGTGGAGTTCAAGTGTGCGGAGTGGGAGCCATCAGATGCAATGATCTGTGTAGGCTCAGGGCAGTGAGCAGGTCTGTTCCTGCGTCTCTGCGGTGTTCACAGAATGAGGTGGAGGCGGGAGGAAACTGGGAGGGTGAAAACTAGCAGGAGCTCTCACGCTTCCCAGGCTGCTTCGGATTCCAGTGCTGCCCCCACCAGAAACGTGGCACCAAAAACCACCTTGCTCTTCTCGAAGGCCCAAGCTTCTCGATGGCAGGATAGAGGGAGAGGTCCCTTCCTGCAGAGTTGTCCTGAGGACCAGCCATCATCCACATGCACAGTGCCTGGGAGGCCACAGGGCAGCTGCCACTCTTCAAATGTCACGGTAGTGGCTGGGTGCAGTGGCTCACACCTGTAATCCCAGCACTTTGGGAGGCCGAGGCAAGTGGATGATTTGAGCTCAAGAGTTCAAGACCAGCCTGGCCAAGATGGTGAAACCCCACCCATCTCTAAATTTTTTTACTAAAAAAAAAAAAAAAGCCAGGTGTGGCAGTGAGTGTCTGTAGTCCCAGCTACTCAGGAGGCTGAGGCAGAAGGGTTGCCTGAACCTGGGAGGCAGAGGTTGCAGTGAGCCAAGATTGCACCACTGCACTCCAGCCTGGGTGACAGAGCGAGACTCTGTCTCAAAAAAAAAAAAAAGCCACAGCAGCAAGCAGCAGCAATGGCGGAGCACCTGTGACATCCCCAAGCACAATTTCTCTCCAAATTCCCATTTACCGGGGCAGGGATTGACACCCTGAAGAAGATTGGTAAGAAAACATGAGTGAATGTGATATAACCTAATGTATATAGTTTCAAGTGTTGCTGGTAGTGTTCCATAGCATGTCTGGAAGATAATTTAACTCCCCACTAGCAAGCTTAGTGGTTCGGACAATGACCAAGCAACTAAGGCCGTGCTAACAACCGGCCAGTCCCTGGAAGGGTCTGTAGGAATTCTTTGACTCTTCTTACAGCTTCCTTGTCCATTTGAATTTTTTCCAAAATATAAAATTAGAAAAATAAATATTTATATGGTTTCCAGATTTGCAGTCCTTCCATAATACTAAAATGCACACTCTTGTCTAGGGAAACATCCCTGATGATCTTGGACCACTGAGGCCTGCGTCAGTGGTGAGGCCCGTGAATGGTGGCTGCAGGGGAGCTGTCCTGCTGTGCGTTCCCACCATCAGTGTGCTGGTGCCCCTTCCCTCCCTGTCTTTGCCATCTTGGGGTATTGCTAGCATATTCGTCTTCTATTGCTTCTATAACAAACTTAGTGGTTTACAACAACAGATTTATCTTCCAGTTCTGCAGATCAGAAGTCCTGAAATCCAGGTATTAGTAGGGCTGTGCTCCTTCCTGGAGCACTTGGGAGGATTTACTTCCCTGCCTTTTCCAGCTTCTGGAGGCCATCCCCATGCCTTGGCTCGTGGCCCCTTCCTCTGTCTTCAAAGCCAGCAGAGTAGCAGCTTCCAATCTCTCTCTCTCTCTCTCTCTCTGACCTCTGCCTCTGCTATCTCATCTCCCTCTCTGACTCTGACCCTCTTATCTCCTTCTTAGAAGGACCCTTGGCATTCCATTGGGATCACCCAGAACAATCCAGGATAATCTCCCCATCTGAAGATCCTTAATTTAATACCCCTCTGCAGAGCCCTCTTTGCCATGTCAGGGAACATACTCACAGGTGCCAGTGATTGGACATCTTTTTGGGAGGTCTTATTCTGCCTACCACGGCCAGCCATTTGAATCTTTGCCAATTTCTTAGGTGACAAAAGATGAATTTATTGTTAATTGTAGTCTTCTGACTGTCAGTGAGGTTGGTAATGTTGGACATATTTTCAGGAGATAATAGGTCATGTGTATTTTATCTTTGTGAACCACCTTTTTATAGCCGTGGTGTAGTAACCGTGTTTCCCTTTGCCCATTTTCCAATTAAGCTATTTTTTGTCCTAATTGGTTTGTCAGTGCTCTTTCCATGTTAGGGTTGTTTACATTTTTCCGTTAATTTTTCTTTATGCGTATATTCTATATTTTATCTCTGTTTCAAGTCACGTTATAATTTTGTAGTTGTAGCAATTGTTTGGAAGGAAAACGGGGACTCATCATAGCATTTTAGTTCTCAGGAATGTCACGTGGAATTGTGGCATGTCGTGGTCACCGAAAATGTCATAGGAAGATGCTGGTTTTCTTATGAGGTCACGGAGCACTTGGCCTTCTGGTTTCCTCACCTCCTCTCTCCTTACCATGTGACAGCACAGTCTTTTTTTTTTTTTTTTTTTTTGAGACGGAGTTTCGCTCTTGTTACCCAGGCTGGAGTGCAGTGGCGCGATCTCGGCTCACCACAACCTCCGCCTCCTGGGCTCAGGCAATTCTCCTGCCTCACCCTCCTGAGTAGCTGGGATTACAGGCACGCACCACCGTGCCCAGCTAATTTTTGTATTTTTAGTAGAGACGGGGTTTCACCTTGTTGACCAGGATGGTCTTGATCTCTTGACCTTGTGGTCCACCCACCTCGGCCTCCCAAAGTGCTGGGATTATAGGCATGAGCCACCGCGCCCGGCCGACAGCACAGTCTTATCTTCCTTGTCTTATAGGGAGTTGGGGACTTACAGTTCCTTAATTAACCATCAGATATGGGCACCATTTTACAGACTTATTCAAACTGTATCTTTTGAGTAAATGGGATCTATTGTTAGTTCCTCTTCCAGAGACAGAAATGAATCTGCTTGAATCAAAGCACATAAACTTTGTACACAGCCGGCTTAATTCATCCACCACCAAAAGCAAACCCAAGGAGTCCTTTCAAAGGTGATCCAAGCGCAGAGTCGTTTTTGTGTTTGTTTTTGTATTTGGGGAATTCAAAGGAGGCTGGCGGCACAATTCCCAATTTTCTATAAAGTTGGCGAGACCCAGATTGCTTCGATCTTCAGTGTTTTATGCTAAATTTTTTCTTCCACAGTTTTTTGTTTATTTAGACGATGTACCTCTATACTTTCGCTCTTCCTACAAAATTAAAGACACAACAACAACCAATATCATATCTCCCTAACAGAAGCAATAAATCCTGTCATTTCACCAATCCTGATCTCGCAGGGATAACAAAGAATGCATTTACATTCATAACCACTAACAGGGTCTCATTAGTGGGCTGTGGAGGAGCTGCCGAGAGAACGAAAGCGCTCAGCTCCCGGAGCAGGAGCGCTGGAACCACCCAGGTCTGGCAGGGGCCCACTTCACCACCAGCTGAAACAGGAAGAAATTTTAAATGATTCTCGACAGAATTTGGTTTTGAAGGGAAGGTCAGGCTGAACAGAGAAACTCTGCCTAGCCGACCACAGCCTGCTTATTTATGAATAAGTGCAGCTGGCTGAGGCCCCCTCCTTCCCGATTTGAGCGTTGGTGACATCCGTGACTCAGGGATTCCCTAGCCTGCAGATGGACCCTACTGTTTGGGCTTGAAGGGTGGTGATTAACTACATCCTTTCTCCACACCCTGAGTTCTGAATCCATTAGGAGACAGACCCCAGAGTTTGCTGAGAGCTCAGAATGGAGAATTTGGCTGACAACCCAGGTCACAGTTGGGCTTAACATGTCCCTCCAAGGCCAGGCCTGGAGACAAGCCACCCAGTGTATGGCCATACCCCAATGGTGGGGACAGGGAGACAGGCCCCCACGCCTGCTCCAGGAAGAGTCCTGACTGAGTGGAGGCAGACATGGAAGGGATCCCGCCGCACTGTGGGCCAGGGCCAGCCAGCGGGAGATTGGGAGAGCTGGAGGGACTCAGCCCCTCTGGGAGTGACTCTTCGCTCTCGGGAAGAAGGAGGCTGCAGGGTGAAGGGAACAATGGAATTCAGCTTCCCAACACTGCCCTGCAACCAGAGGGTCCTCCTGAAACTGGAGGACATGCTGCTATATCCCCCAAGGCTTCCAGAACTTCCAGAACAGGAGCCACCAGTTGGTTGCTCCTCCATACCTTTGGGGAATCCATGAGACATCCCAGATTTCCCTCTTCAAATCCTAGGTCTATTTTAGATAGCTCTGCCCTGAGTGCCAGCAGCATTCCTGGGAACATAGGGAATCACCAGCCACTCCCCTTCATATTAGGAATTTTCATCTCTAAGGTTCAGGAGCTTAGCAATTGAGATTATTGTAAGGACACGGAGGCCTTGTCACCATGGGGCAGAGGCCCCTAGCACCTCTGAGCTTGCAGATATCACTGCCAGAACACCCTACCATCTAGCCACCCAGTGCAGAAAGCCCATCCTCACCACTCCCCACCCCAGGCGCTATAGACTCTTCCTGGGTACCCCTCATTGCCCTTGTGGGTACTGGACCTCCTTCTCTGGAGACTGCCCTGCCCGTGCTCCTGGCCGCTGGCCTCCTGCTGGTCTTTCACTGGGACCCCTGCCATTGCAGACTTGTGCCTTCTCTCCACTCACCTTGGAGCTGCGTGCTCCAGAGATGTGCGCTTTTGTTACTGTTCATCCCCGCCACCCTCGCAGTCACCATCACCACCGCCACCAGCTCAGCTGAATAGATCCAGATGTCATCTTTCCCCCTGGAGCCTCTTGCTCTTATCCCCGACTCCAGGCCTCCTGATGTTATGTCCCAGCCGTGACCTCTGCAGACTTAGTTATGTTCTTTTTTTGTCCTCACAGGTGCTGCCAACACCTCCTCCTTTCGAATCAGCAGCAAAATTAATAACTGTGCTGTTTTCCTATCTTTCCACATTTACTGGGCAAAGGACCCCAGGGCCCCATCTCAGTGCATCTTCAGTCCCTTGATCCCAGGCTCTTGGTGACGGCACTGTGGACGGAGGATTGGGGAGATGCTTATTCTGTACCTGGACTTTGAAATATATAGGTCTGACCTCCTAAACTCGTTCTGACTTGAGCTGCAGTGAACAGAACAAATTTATTCCCCAGGGCTCCGCTCGTGGCGTTCTTTATGCAGGCAACCTCCATTACAGTCACCAGGAGCTTGCTCTGCATACAATAAACAGGGTCGGGCTTAAATCACGCAGCCTTAGTTGCCAGGGAGCTCCTGTCACTTTTACACCAGTACAAAACAAGTAAAAACGATTCTGGGCTTTTGGAAAAATAAGTTCTCAGCTGTTTCTGTATCATTCAGAATGAGATAGTTGCTGATGGACTCCATTGCCACTGTGCGCTATGGTGATGTGTGCAGATACCTTCTTTCCTCCGCAAACTCAAGCAAAGGCGCCACCATGTCTCAGTTCTCTGCTTAAATCAGCGGTGGCTCACAGTGGCCACTACTGCCAAATGATGTCCTCAGCCCCATCCCCATAACTCCATTCCTACCAAAGGGTATTTGAAAATCCTGAATTCTGGAGGCCCAGAGCTTCCCAAGGAAATTTGCCATTCTGTCTTTGCCACGTGGAATGTCTTGTTTCCCAATTTTCACTTAATATAAAACCAACCCTGCTCATGGGCCTCACTCTGTTGTTCAAAGTCACCCAACATAAAGAAGTCTGTACTGCTTTATTTTTAGCCTTTCTCATGAGAATTTTAGCCATAAATTAGGGCCCAGGGACTGTTAATGGTGCATATAACCTACTTCCAGGTTGCTGTTGTAATGCTGCAACGCCGGCTCTTCAGCCAAGAGGCTTGGCTTCTGCCCTGGCCCTGGGAACTGTTTTTGTTCTCACGTGTTGCTTGGACTTCCTCTGGAGAGTGGCTATCCAGGGAGGAGATTAAAAACAGCCAAAGGCGGATCTTGTCCTTGTTGGTTTATGTCTTTGCCCAAGTGCACATGAGATGCTCATCTCAGTCTGTCCACAGTGCACTCAGAACGTGCTGGAACTGTGTGGTCAGGAGCCCGCCAGCCATGCCATGTCCCCAGCAGTGGCGATTCTGAGTTAGACTCTAACTTTTCTCCCTGGCTCCCTCCATCCATCCCTCCCTCTCTCTCTCTCTCTCTCTTTTTCTTTCTTTCTTTCTTTTTTTTAACAGAGTCTTGCTCTGTCACCCAGGTTAGAGTGTAGTGGCACAATCTTGGCTCACTGCAACCTCCACCTCCTGGGTTCAAGCGATTCTCCTGCCTCAGTCTCCCAAGTAGCTTGAGATTATAGGCGTGCACCACCATGCCCAGCTAATTTTTGTATTTTTAGTAGAGATGGGTTTCAGCATGTTGACCAGACTGGCCTTGAACTCCTGACCTCATGATCCACCCACCTCAGTCTCCCAAAGTGCTGGGATTACAGGCGTGAGCCACCGCGCCCGGCCCAGACTCTAGCTTTTCATATCTCCTGTCTCTCCATATGCTTTGACACCTGCCCAGCTGGCTTGTCGACCCACTTACAATGAGTCCTAACTGGGAGCTGCCCCTGTGCCCCCGCCCCACCAGCATCTCCCAGCAGCTAAAGCAGTTCAGTTATAGGAAGGCCCACATTCCTTGGCACATACCAGACATACCCCGTTCTTATCTTCAGGAGAGAAGACAGCTATTTAATGGATAATGACTTTCTCCTAAAAGTGAAAGTCCTGGTGTGTAGAATAGGTCATGTGAAAGACAGATCATTATCGAGTGTTAACTGCGCCCCTCCCACACACCCCCACATTTCCTAAATATTTCTGTCTGGGAAAGGTCCCTCATGGCCTAATAGAACCCGAGAAAAGGTGGGAGATTTGCGAGAGGTTCAAGATGCTAATTTGCACCCTTTCTGGTAATGAGACCTCACCCCAACAAATGCAGCCATCGCCATACAAACAAGCCAGACCAGCCCCAAATTGGGATGATGATGTGTTTTCAAGAGGCTTCCGAGTCCAGATCCCAGGAGGCGTGGATCAGAGCTCAGCCAAAGTGCTTCATTTTTAAGGGGGAATTAATATTCTCATCACTAAATGCACACTAAAGATCGACAATAGACCAGCTTTTCTCTTTTGTTAAAAACTTGCAAAGAGTTGCTGAGTTGAAAGACAGAGTAAATCTCCCCGTCTGAGGAGGTAAGCGGAATGCTATTGCTTGTTTTCAGCAGAGCAGCCTCGGCGAGCTGCAAACTGTCTTCCCGCGGAGGGGAGACCCTGAGGGACCTCTGCCCGTTTCCAGCAAGCCTTTGCATGCCGTGTGTTTGTACTCGCTGAAGACAGCGCATGACTCTCTAAATAATTTACAAGTTGATTAATAGACTCACAGGGGTATAATTAGAAGAGGGAGAGACAGTGGGTACAGTAACCGGTACAGTGCTTGGGGGAACAGGAGCCTTTATTTTTTTAAAGAAACTTTCTAGGGTGCTGGGCGTTTGAAGATAAGTTGGGAAGAGCTCAGTGCCTCTTCTCTTTTGAAGTGGAAATAGGACAGTTTGAATCCGTCGAGTTTAATTTTTCACAAGCTTTAGGGGCCCCGCAGTGCAACTCCCTTTTTATTATTGAAAAAACTCTACATTTTTCTTTCATTTTTCTACACACACACACACGCCAAGCAGTAAGTAATAAACACATTAATTTATCTTATTCTATGTGGATTTCCTTCGACTTGCCTCCCCCAGGTGTGTTGGCCTCTGTCCCTTTGGCACCCCCCACCAAGAGCCCTCACTGTAGGGTGGCCTAGAGGTTGATTAATGGATGCCCCCTGTAATTTATGCATTTTAAGGAACCTTCACCTCTGTCTGACAATGCTTTTGAAGTAGCTCCTTTTTTCAAGTCAAACTTTTGACTTTTCCACTGGGACCCCTACAAAGATTTCCTTATGGAAACTAGGTAGGAGGCTTTTTCAGCCCGAGAGAAAGCTGTGGCCGAGGGAGGAGCAGAGCAGCAGGTGTAAAAGTGCTGTTTGCATTCCAAGGGCTGGAGGGCCCGGGAATGAGGACAATTAGGGGGTGGGCACCCTTGCTTATCAACAGGTTTGTGCCGCCCCCCCCCCAGGGTCTTCCTCTTGGATTTCTTTGACTTTCATTTTGAAAGTGTGCATTGTCTTTCTCCAGTGTGAAAATAATGCTTTGCTGGGGGAGGAGGGGGGCGGCCTCGTCTCAAAAAGGTCAGAAAGCTTTTTGCTCAATGGCTAGTCCAGTGGGAAAACGGAGGCAGCAAGAGATGCCAGATTCATTCATGCATCCATTCAGTGACATTCTCTCCCCAAGAAGAATGAGTGCTGTGGGAGTGGGGCAGGTCTGGCCTGTGTAGTGCTGTTCCTTGTCACCTGGCTGGAGCCACTATTGGGGTGCAGCCAGACTTTCCCATTGGGCTGAGTGTCAGGTGTTGCTGTGTATCAGGCATCCAGATTAAAAAATGGAACCAAACCCAACCCAGACATTTCTGGGAAGTCCAAGGAGAGCCGGAGTGCACGGTGTCATCCGTGCTCTGACCAGAGCTTCTAGAAGCGTTTCCCTCTCCGTGGGCAACCCCAGCGGCTTCAGAGAAGAGCAAACCTCCAGTGCACTCAGCTGTGAAATTGTCTCTGACAGTCCCGACCCTGGAGGCCCCAGGCCTTCTTCTCCAGTCGGGAGGTCTCTCGGTGTAGCCTTCTGGGCAGCCCCTGGCATGACCAGAGCTGTGCTCCTACCCCTCACACCCTCCCCTCCACCATGGCAGGTGCAGCTTGAAGCCTCTTTCCCTCTGGGAACGTCCTTGCCTGACGGGAGCTGACACAGGTTCTTTCTCTTTGGGCTGTGAGGGGTGGGGAAGAGGTGGCCCCTGTGACCCTCTGCAGCCTCTATACCTATGATCAGGGGTGTGGGACTTGCTGGGGTTTGTCACCCAGAAGCTGGCTCTCAGGTTTCCCTGTGCCAGGCACTTGGCAAAGCATCCTTAGATATGGAGGGAGGGAAGCAGGGACCACACCTTTCAGCTTCACACCTGTCGCTGCTGCTCTGGGTGACAAGGGCACACCCGTCAGAGAGGGCGATGGGCAAGGTGGGAGCAGAGGGACACGGGAGCGGGGGGAGGAGAGGGAAGAGGCTTCCTGGCATACAGAGGGACATACCTGTTCCCACCCTCTCCTGGGGAAGAGCCTGTGGACACCAGGGGATGTGGAAGGCAGGGCGCGGAGAACTCCGACTCCTCACCCACAGACCTTATCTGATTTATCCCATCCACGATCCTGACTGCAGAACTCCGACATCCTCCCAGACTCTGGTTGGTTTGCTGGGAGATGAGATGGCCTCATCTGGGACCTCCTCACCAGGGTCCCCTGTTTCTGCTCACATCGTCTGCCTGGCCGGCTGCTCCAAGAGCTGAGGAGCCAGCCCCACAGGGCTCATGGTAGGAGCTCAGCTACGTTAGTGGAAGAGCAAGCCTATGGCAGTTGACCTGGGTCTCTGTGGTGTGGACAATCCCAGGATGACCTGCCCCGGGCACCCGGGGCCGGAAGCTGCCGTCTGCTGTCTGCATTTCTGTTTAGGTGAGGCACCTTTCCACAGGCAGCCCAGCGGCTTCAGATAGTCTTGTAGGAACAAAGAGGAAACAGGTCACAAGGGCAGCAGGCAGCCTGAAGGGTTACTAAGGGAGGCAAGTGACTGTCACTCCCAGATGGGAGGGGCCATGGCTGCAGGTCGCGTTCAGAATCACACAGACTTGGTTCCCATTCAGACTCTGCTTCTTCCCGGCTGTGCTACTGGGCAAGCCACGTGCCCCCTCAGAGCTCCCTTCAGCTTTCCCTCTGTATGTAAGGTGAGCTTTCCCAGGATCCCATTTGTCAGCTTCTCTGTATGAGGGGAATTGTGTCTGTAATTCACTGATTACTATGGTCACTGATTACAATCACTGATTACTCACCATGACTGTTAACAAGAATGGAGTTGCCATAGTCACCATCTTACTTGTAGTAATGGTACTCACAGCAAGTCCTGTCGGGTGTGAATATGTTTTACATATGGGGGGGGCTGATATTTATTTCCTGTAACTGCTACCAGCTTTGGGGACCCGGTCCCTGTGGTAACTGGGAACTGACAAAGCTCGTTTGTGTTACTCTGATGCTCTGTGATATGGTTTAGCTGTGTCCCCACCCAAATCTCTTGATTTTGAACTGTAGTTCCCATAATCCTCACGTGTCGTTCGAGGCACCCGGTGGGAGGTAATTGAATCATGGGCGTGGTTACCTCCGTGCTGTTGTGATAGTGAGTTCCCATGAGATCTGACGGTTTTATAAAGGGCTCCCCTCTGCCCCTTTGCTCTGCACTTCTTGCTGCCCCTATGTGTTTGCTTCCCCTTCTGCCATGATTGTAACTTTCCTCAGCCCTCCCCTGCCTTGCAGAACTGTGAGTCCATTAAACCTCTTTCCTTTATAAATTGCCCAGTCTTGGGTATGTCCCCCAGTTATCTCTTGTAGCCTAACAAACTATCCCCCAATTTATGGCATAGAATGACCCCAAGTTTATTATGCTCCTAATGTAGTGGGTCAGGGGTTGGGGCAGGACATGGCAAGGAGGTCTCGACTCTGCTCTATACTGACTTGGGCTTAGGTTGGATGCCTTGAACTACCTGAGAGGGCTGGGCTGGCTCACCCAGGGACTTACATGTGGATCTCAGTTCTCAGTTCTGGTGTCAGCTTGGTTCCTTGGTTCTTCTCCACCTTGTGTCCGCAGGGCTGGTGGGTCCAAGACAGATTCTTCATCGCCATGCCTGATGCCTGGGAGGGTACACTTGGAATGGCTGGGGCCGGCCAGGCATCTCCCTCCTCAAGGCCTCTCCATAGGGCCGGCTTCACCTGCCTTGTCAAGTGGTGGCTGGCTGCTCCGGAACAAGCACTTTGTAGAGTTCAAGGGTGGCAGTGGTTGGGGTGGAAGGTGGGGCCAGTGGCCAGGCTTCCCATTACCTCACTGCAGACACCTCAGCAGACACTTCTGTCTGGTTCTACTCACAGAGCTTGCCACTGGAGCCAGCCCAGATTCCAGGGAGGGAATTGGGACACCCCCCACCCCGCCCCAGGAAGAGTAGCATAGAAGGCATGACCATCTTTAATCTCTCATACCGGGGGAGGCTTGCTGTGCAAATTTCAGTTTTGTTCAGGATGGGCTGCACCACCTGCCCCGGAGGCAGCCACAGCCTCAGCAGCCCTCAGGAGCTGGGTCCCCAGGTGACATCAGGTGCCACACAGGGGCCTACCTATACCTCTGCCCAATGTTGTTCTCGTGAAGAGGAGGAAGCCCTGGTTAGGAGGTAAAATGAGTTGCCCAAAGGCAGGCTGCAAGTGAAATGCAGAGTGCAGGGCAGAGTTCGGGCCTCTAGTCCTCATCAGCACAGTGCTCCTCCTAAAAGTCAGGTGCAGCAAGCAGCTCTAGTGCTGGATTGGCTGGTTGCAAATCCAAGCTCCACCACCTGTGAGCTGTATGGCCGTGGGCAAGTCACTTCCTCTTTCTGTGCCTTAGTTTTCTAATCTGTAAAATGGGATTCTGTAACTACTTCTTTTGTAAGGAGAAAAGTACGTGAATTAGTGTTTATATTAGACAAAGACATGCTTAGAACAGGGTTGGGCTGATCATATGCACTATAGCATACATGCTTGGTGAATCAATATACTATCATATGTTTTCCCTCCCAGAAAACTAGGCTCATGGTTCTGTTGCTGCTGACTCTTCTCACAGATTACGTGGGCTATGTCATCCTTGCTGCCCTTGAGATGTGGGAGACAAAACTGGTTCTAAGCCCTGAATTCATTAACATGGAAGGAAAATCATGTTCCTTAAACTCTTGGATCTGCAGTGTACACTTAGTGAATACATCCCACTTTAAAACAATCCAGTTCATATCCAGACTGGCTGACCTCTGCTCATTTTCCCAGATACTCTGATATTCCATTGGAGGATGTAAAAATGTACTTTAAAATAATAAGAATTATCAAATATTCTGCACAGTGTGGCTAGCTGAGCATTTCCAATAAAGAAGTCTTACTAATTTGCTAAGTGATATACCAGTTGTTTATAGAAGAATGGTGATTTTTGAATGGTCTTTTTTGTCATCTAAAACTTCATTAGGGACAAACTGGCCAGGTGCGGTGGCTCACACCTGTA